CTAGAGGTTCCTTGATTTCCTTGTATTCTTCTGTTTCCATGATTACTGCAGCATTGCCTTTGTCTGCTGGCAGAATGATGATGTCCGGATCTGAGTTTAGGGACTCGATAGCATTTCTCTCCTTTTTTGTTGTGTTGCTTTTGGGGTTTTTTGCTTTTTGTAGGATCCTTGTCACTTCACATCTTATTTCTTCTGCTTTTTGTTCTGGAAGATGATATAATGCTGATTTCAAGTTGGCAATGATGTCTTCCACAGGAATTTTGCTGGGTGTGACTGCAAAGTTTCCTCCTTTGGCTAAGACCGAGGTTTCTTCCGGAGAGAGTTGACATTCAGATAGGTTGATGATGATGCGTGAGGTGTCTAATGTAGGTTTATGCTGGCTTGTTTGGCATTTGTTGAATTCCTGTTTTTTCATTATATCTATATAACCAAAAGGCTTAACTTTTGAATGGGTTCTTGAATCAGAACTCTATGGGACAAAGTGCCTGCTTTGGAGGAAGATGGACAAACCCTTTTAAAGATCTGATTTCTAATTTAGAAGCAATGCCCTAAAAGCCATGCAGAGGAGATAGAAGGTTGAAAGGCTCCTTTGTCTGAATATGATAATGAATCTCCAGTTTTAAAAAGTGAAGCAAAAGCTGCTCTGAAGGCACTGGGAAGAAATAAATCAAGAGGAGCAGGCGGAATACCAATATTTCAAGCTAAAGAAACTGAATCAGTCCGAATCCTAACAAGATGATTCCAACAAGGATGGAAAACAAAACAATGGCCCACAGACGGGAAACGTTAAATATTCTTTCCAATCTCTGAGAAAGGAGATGCCAAGGACTGTGATTACTATGGGGTCATTGCAGACTATGAAGAAACAGAACGGTTTGCTTTCGGCAAAGGTACTGGACAAGAGGGTATTGGATCTGCTTATCTGTTCAGCCTGTAGAGAATGTATCACATAGAAAACTGGATAGACTTAGAAGGCAGAGATGAGAAAATGGGTAGAAAAAACATCAGTAACTGAAGCGATGCAGATGACAGCATTTTCCTGACAGAAAGCAGCCATGATTTGAAATGACTTTGAGAGAGGAAAGTGCCAAAGGAGGACTGCCGATGAACATTAAGAAGCAGAAAAGTCACAACTACAGAAAAACTACACAACTTTGATGCTGACAATGAAGAAAAGTCTTAAAGATTTGGTATTATTGATTTAAAATATTTTTACCCTGCCTTTCTCCTTAAAAAGACCCAAGGTGATTTACAACAATTAACATTTTGATGGTTTTTGTCTTCCTTGGTTCAGTCATCAATCCAAAGGGAGACTGTAGCCAAGAAACTTGCAGAAAATGGAGACTCAGAAGGGCAGCAATGAAGGAAAGGGAAAAAATCATCACGTGTAAGGATGTGTCCCTGGAAACCAAGGCCAAGATCATCCACACGTTTGCATTCTTGATCACTAAATGCAGGTGTAAAAGGTGGACAGTGAAGAAAACTGGGGCTGCAGGAGAGCTTTTCAGATCCCCTCAGCCCCCAGAAAGACAAACCAATGGATCCTGAAGCAAATCAAGCCTGAATTTCCTCTGGAAAATAAAATAAAATAAACTGAGGCTGTCATATTTTGGGCACATCATGAGAAGGCCAGACTCCCTGAAGAAGATCATAAATCTGGGAGGAACTGAAGACAGCAGGAAAAGAAGGAGACCCAATATGAGGTGGACTGAGTCCCTCAAGGAAGCCCCATCCTTGAGCTTACAAGAGCTGAACCAGGCTGTGGAGGACAGGACCTTGTGGAGTTTGCTCCTTCGTAGGGTTACCAGAAGTTGGAGGCCACTTGACAGCCAGAGAAGACCAATAATCTCCACTATATTCGCGAAGGCTTTCACGGCCGGGATTTAATGGTTGTTGTGGGTTTTTTGGGCCCTTTGGCCGTGTTCTGAAGGTTGTTCTTCCTAACGTTTCACCAGTCTCTGTGCTGTCCATGAAGGTGAAGTCTTTTCTTTCCCCGGTTTTAGGAGGACGATGCTATCCGTGCTGCGGCGTTCCATCTCTTCAGTGCCTTGGCCACCAGGGCCAAGTGGGGGTACAAGACCTTCTTTACCAATCAAGTGAAAGAAAACTTGGTACTCTTGCTCATCCACCAGGGTGACCCCAACCCCAAAGTCTCAGAGGTAGGACTGGAGCATTAAGGCATTGGTTACATATGCATAGTTCTCTGTTTTCCTGCAAAATTTATTTTTAAAGTACAGTGGTGCCCCGCTATGGGGAAACATCGCTAAATGAAACGGAAAAGCCCGCTCTTCGAGGGGGGCCCTGCTGCACGCCCAACCTTGCTGGAAGGCTGGGCTGGTGAGTGCGGGAGACGAGGCTTCTCCCGGACCAGCACCTCAAGGACAGGAGGCCCATCCGGGAAGTCAGGCTACCTCCAGCCTGGTCAGGCGTCAAGAGGTCCTTTGGACAAAGACGGCTGAATTGGACAAAGACGGCTTCAAACAGACTTTTCTAAAATGGGACTCAATGTGATCTTGGGCTAGATAAAGATGAGAAGCACTCAAGCTGGCCTGATTTTGGAGGAAAACCTGTAAATCTACCTGCTGGCATTATGGATGCTTTACGTGTGTATGGTGCATGCCTTATCTTCGTATGCGTACATCCGAAATTTGAAAGTCCATTCTCTGTCTTTTCCTCTCCTTTTTTAGGCATGCAAAATGGCCTTTTTGCAGTGTCTGCCCTTTGTGGCCAAAAGACACCTTCAGCAGCTGCACCAGACCACCAAGAGCGCTCATGAGCAAGAGAGAAGGGGGGGGAAGAGAGGCTTTTGGACCGGGAGTGAGAAGGCGGGGCAGGGAGAGGGAGTTGAATTAACCAAGCCTAAGTAGACTGTCATTGCTAGCTAATTTACTGGCCACATCTTTCCGAAAGCTTCCAAGGGGACTTTTAGTATTTAAAAAAACAAAGTTGAAATCTAAATCATAAACGGTTGCAGTGTTTGAAAAGCATGACACGAGTCACCTACTAAAACTCCCCAATGAAGAAAAAATCTGGTTCTGATCTGGTTCCAAGGCTACCCCTTGACAGCCTTCTCTGGGAGGTTGCCAGGAACCGAATCCAGCTCCTTCAGCCACACAGGGACGAGAGGACGCACTCCCTCGTCAGCCACAGAGACTCAGGGTGATGTATGTAGTGGACAGAGTGGTGGACTAGGACTCCGGAGGCCTGGCTTCCGATCCACACAGCCCCCCAGCCATGGAAGCTCACTGGGGGCTTGCAACGTCCCAAACCACTCCTTTGATCTCTCCCTTCAGTTGAAAGCACTCCCGGGGCTGCTATAAACCCCTTCAGGGCCCTCGAAAGGGCCTGGCAGGAGGGCTGGTGGTCAGACCAGGTTTCCTCAGGCGCCAAAGCGAGCAACCGAGGTCAGCTCCGGTCGTCCCATCAGCCTTTTTCAGCTCCGGTCGTCCCATCAGCTTGGCCGAACGGGACTGTCGGTCACTGTGGCGAGGAGACAAGGTGCTGGGTCACATTGCACCCACACGCCTGGTCGTGCCACACCACGGAGGTGCAGCCGGAGGATTTGTCGATTAGATGTGACAAGTGAGGAACAAACAAGACAGAACCCCTGAGAGGAATCTGGCCATTTTCATAAGCTGGGAAATGGATGGATTGGTTTTACTGACATGTACAGTAGTAATCAGGAAAACACACCCAAAAAGTGACTCTTAAAAGAGAGGCAACACAGCATTGTGAGGTATCGGCCCAAGACTTGAACAAAACCCTTGCCGTCACCCTTAGGAGTATTGTTGTGTTCTTTTGACCATGGATTTGGGCGGCCCAATGAACTGAAGTGATTTTTACATCCATCTTTAGGTCAAAGAGTGCCCTCACCTCACCATGGGCCTCCAGAGAGACATTCTGCCCTACTTCCAGAGCAGGCAGGAAGAGGTCCAACGGAGAGCTATGGAGATCTCAAGTAATCGGACAGTCCTCTGAGCACAGCAGGGCTGGAAGGGACCCGGTGGATCCTCCCATCCAGCCCTTCTCAAGGAGACCCGGCGGGGAACTGAACTCTCAATGAGAGGACTGGACCACCGGGATGGACAGCAGTTCTAAGGGGCAAGACGGTCTGTTGAAGGATCTGAAGGGCCCCTCCACAAATCCCAGAAGTCAGGGAGGCCGGAGGAAGGGAAGAGATGCCTACGAGGGTCTCAAAACCTCCAAGAAGTGCCGACCGGGCTCAAATGTCGCCCAGCTACCCTCTACCCCAGTCTCCTTCCTCTTCACTTCCTTTGAAAACTCTATGGAAGTTTTTGCTCAGAAATTCGTATGCTCTCCAGGGGGTCAATTCTGTCATCTTCGGGTCTTACTAGCTTCCTCTTCTCCTCTATCAACCCCCCCACTTTTGTTTTGCTTTTTACATCGAATTCTTGCTACAAGCAAGGATAAGGGATCTTTTGAGCAAAATGAGTTAAAAATGTCTTGGGCAGGACAGAGGGCAGGCCTTCTATAGGTGTAAGTGTCACCATGGATTCCCCCCCTTAAACCCCGCCCCCTAAAACCAAACAAACCTTCAGGGAGTTTCCCACCCTTCCTGTGGAATTAAGATGTGTTCTGGGCATCCTTGATGGAGAGTCCGGCAGAAGACCTTCGTAGCATCCAGGTGACCACGTGGAAGCATTTCCCCTTTGCCTCGGGGACGGTTCCATAGCCTCCCAGCTGTGATTTCCCATCATCTGCTTTGCCTTGTCAAGGCTGCAGCCGCAGGGGTGCCCAAGGTCATTCGCTGGCCCTTTAGCACGGTCGCACCCCTGAAGGCCAGCCTCGCAGGAGTGGTTTCCTCTGGACGGTCCAAAGACCTGGACACAGTCCGCAGCTTAGCTTCAAAGGCCCCATCCCATACCCTTCCGTTCCCACTTTATCTTCTTTTTTTTTCTTGTATATGAAAAAAGGACAACCCCTGCTCATTGAGGGTTTTGGAAGCGGCCTCAAGCAGGATGGGTCGAGCTCTCTCTCGACTTCCAAGGAATCCCATCTAGCAGCTTCTGTGGGCAAAGGGAGAATAGTTGGAGGGGCCCTTCCTTTCGGTCCAAATCCTCCCCAGAACCCGGCCTCAGGAAAGGCCACCTGACCCTCTGCTCCCTTCATGCCTTTCCCTTAGGAGCCCTCCTCCAGAGCACCCCAGTCACAGGGCTAGAAGAAAGAACGCTGCAGCTTCTTCTGACCGGTAAGGCACGGGAGCGATGGGGGCGATCGGGTCTCGTTGCCCACCTCAATACTCTCCCCTTGCTGAAAGAATGGGTGGGTCGTTGGGGGGAAGAAAGGGAGGGAAGATGAAGATTCCTTTTGCTTCCAAAAGGAGGCCCCACCATAAAATACGGATTTGACCAGCCATTGACCAGCCATTGGATTCTGGAGGGTCTGGAGGAAGTCCAAGCATTGAGCTCCCGCTTTGGCTGCCTAATGGTTTGATCCGTGGATGCTTTGCCCACCTCTTGTTTCAGGGCTCGTGCCGTTGCAGGGGGACGCGGGCACGAACCTGGAATTGGCAGTGGACGCTCTGGAGGACCACATCCGTCGAAAGTGGGCACAGGTTCGGGACGACGCCACAAGTGGAAGCCGCATCACTCAGAATTCAGCCACATGGTACCGGTGGCTACTTGGATTTTGCCGGCACTAAATGTATGTGGTTCTAAAATGGTTTTCTATAATTTTAAAAGCCAGGGTTGGTTTTACATGGCGTTCCTGAAGTACTCC